GTTTATAAATAAACACACCGCAAAAAAATTTGCGACTAATCTCTAAAGAGATTATTCTCAATCGGGTACAATTGGGCATTAATGAGTCGCAAGTAATCTCATACGGGTACTATTGGAGATCAATTAGGACGATGCCACGCGCTGAGCGGCTGAGCGGCTGAAGTAGTCACGCACTGATATTGCGTATGAGTAACATTATTTCCCCGCTCCTATTTCATACAAAATATTATTGCATAGCGACCGCGACATAGTTTGGAATACATTAAGTCCATTTTACTCGTCGAAGCCAAATACAGCTGATTGGCAAAGGATAGCGGAAGATTAAAAAAAAATATTTGGAATCTACCAAACTGTGTTGGAGCCATCGATGGCAAACATATTGCAATTACATGTCCAGCACATTTCGGGTCCAACTGCTATAATTATAAAGGTAAGTTTATTAAATGATATACATTTTTTTTCATTTTTCTCAGAAACGTAGAGTATCTTTTTGCTAGGTGTTTGCGATGCGAATTATACATTTACATCCGTGGATGTCGGTGCTTATGGCAGTCAAAGCAATGGAGGAATTTTAACAAATTCTGTGTTTGGTCAAATGCTATTTAATCAGCACAGCTAGATTGACCGACACAAAGAGCACTGCCGAATATCAATACCGTCTTCTCCTATAATTCTGTTGGAAATGCAGCTTTTCCTTTAAAATCATATCTGATGAAGCCGTTTCCTGGTATGCTGTTGGACGAAAGGCGGGAATGTTTAATCAAAAGGCTGTGGAGAGTCCGTAGAACTATTGAAAAGGCATTCTGTATTTTGACTGCCAGATGGAGAATTTTACGCGGAAAGCTCAATATGGCACCAGAGACTGCTGAGAAACTTGTTAATGCAACACTTGTGTTGCACAACTTTTTAAAAATGACCGATGGCTACTATTGCCCACATGGCTTCGTCGGTCATGAATGCAATGGAGAATCAGTCGAAGGACTTTGGCGAAGAGAGGTTAATTCATGGAGAGATGTTTCATGATTATGTTCAAAATATGCAGTCAGACCTGCATACCAACTACGCGATACCCTAAAAGAAAATGTATTCGCAAATAAAATAAAAATAAAAATATAATTTTTAATATGAATTCAGTAATATTTCGGTTCTTTCATTCCTTAAAAATAAACCACATTTCAATTTGAAGTACTTAAAACTAATTAACTAAAAGTAATGGAAAGTGTAAAAGCAAAAATAGTACACTTATTAAAAATCAATCACATTTCAATTTAGAAAAATGAAAAGGTAACCACAAATTCAAAATAAAAATTCAATAAAGTATAAAACTAAAACTAAATAAATTCATTAAGGTCGCAAATTACTTGTTTTTTTTTTTAAATAAATGATTCAAAATGAAAATTTTTGATTCTTCGCGCTCGTTCTGTGTGAGTTCATTTAATTTTTCATCGACAAGTTCTAAAAAGCTTTCATTTTTATTATTATTAATCTGAGATAGGGCCATCATTGGATGGTCCAGGCAGTGGCGTACTTCTTTCTTCTTGCTGCAGTGTAAAAAATTCCTCCGGCTGCAGTACACTTAATTCCTCAGACTCCGATATACTGACCGCTTGACTCGGAGGTATGCTGATTGAAATAAATAAAAACGTAAACAAATTGCTCTACAAATTAATTAAATTATCGTACATTCTTGGCTTGACATGTTCCTCTAAAAATTCTAAATGGCTAAAGAGCGCCCACTCATTGTCAGGGTCAGTAGCTGCACTGCCAGAGGCAAATTTTTGTTTAGTGCACTCCCGCACAGACCGATACATTAAGGTCCGCCATCTCGACTGACATTCAGGTTCTGTAAATGAAGTCGTATAACACAAACAAATATAGAAATTAAATAAAAGTTTTTCTCACCAGATACTTCCATTTTAGTACTTATAGCTCTACCACGCCAGCGCTCGCTTCCATTTATTGCGATAATCCGCTTCCTTTTTGCTGTGTAAATTTTATACTGGCACGCCTCATTTATTAATTTTTCGTCATTTATTATCTGCAAAATTTATGTAAATATGATAAATAGCAAAATTCATGCAGATAAAATTCATGCAAAAGCGCTATGTTCAATATGCCGAGCAGTTATTAAAGACGATGCTTTTCCTATATTTTGTTAGACTCTTCATAAGTAAAAATATGTTGTGGATATTACTTTCTTCATATGAATTATATCACATTTTTTGTTTAATTCAAGGCCTATCAAACGGGTTTAGAGCATTTGAGAAAAAAAGAACATTTGCCTGTATTTTGTGTTGCTTCTGGTATAGAAAGTGTCAAAATCTGTTCTGATTTTTTTCTTCTACATCAAAGCGTGCCATTTAAAATACAAAAAAGATACAAAATTTTAATTGAAAAAATGAAAATTGTTGCAACTTTCTTTCTTAGTAAATTGGTTTGCTTCTCGAAGCATTGAGCCAACCTGTGCCAGGCCCAGTAATCAGCGGTTGTGCTGCCGAGTTGGGCGAGCGTTCCAAAAGCTGCTATTCAATCGCTGGTTTTGTATGGAAAAAGGTTTCACATGCAAATAGATTTTAACAATTTAGAATTTTTGTGAGAAAAAATTAAAAATATTTTACATTTTCGAGAACAAATAATTTGAAAAAAAAAAAAAATCAAATCACCTGCATACTGATTTTTACTTTTATTTTTAAAAAATGACTAGTCGCTTTTTATGCCCATTCGGCTATAAAGGGGAACAATTAATCTCTTCATAGGACATGCTCGAACAAAAACGAACAGTTTATTCCATATAAAGAGATCAAAAGTGGTATTAGTCGAATGTTTCTTTGTGATTGCTCCATTTTTTTTGGAGTACACCCAGCAAAAGCTTTAATTCTTTGGTAAGCGCTTACCTTTTGCATCGATGGCGTAACGCATTACAATTCGCCGCAGAACAAAATTTTTCACTTTCTCGTTTAACCACTGCATTACGGAATTAGGGCGTTTAACGCCATGCGGGTGCACTAGTATTACAAAAATAGCTTGACACAATGTCACAAAACGTTGGTTTGGTGCGTATGTATGTATGTTTGTATTAGAAAATCCTAGTAATCGGTTTGGAAAGTTATTTCTTTGTTGAAAATTAGGGATACGTTAAGCAAAGCATGTAAAATCTTATCTTAAGGTTAATGGATATGAGTTCCTAATGACAGTAAGACATTTATTCCATTTTCAGTTTATTAATTACTTTGAGAAAGCCTGCTGAAAACTCGAATTCTAAATCTAGTTTCGTCTAGTATTTGAGGCTCACTTGATGTATAAATTTAAGCTCATATAAGTCGACCTTCGGAGCAAAGGAAACACCTTCATTTTGGAATCTTAAATGAGCTCATAATGAGCGTAAATGCTCCGATACACCTTTACGACTCATTTATGACACCAAATGTATGCTGGGTTCAAGTACTTGCATACCAATAAATTTGATCTATTAGTGTTAGGAAGACGTTAAGACTTTTATTGTGTTGATATCTCGTTCCTAAGTTGTACATACAAACCGACTTAAAGAATTTCTAGAGAGTCCCCGACTATCTGATGCTGACGAAACTTGCTTTAAATAGAACTGAGGGAGGATATTTGAAGCCGTAATTCTTAACTCCTACTCCAACCTTGTATTGCGAAATGATCTTAACTCTTAATTAGGCGCATGGGATCAAGGCCATTTCAAGTTGAAAAAAAAATGTCTTGGAGTGCTTGGAGCGTGCTCGCGCTCTTTTAAGCTTCCTAAGTCCTCGCGGGGTACGTAAATTAGTCACGGGTCAGAACATCGGCGTGTACACATGTGCCGCTACTCTTTTAAGAGCTTTAATATTTATGACAATACACATTTCGTATGAATAGTTCATTGCGCCTTTCATCCGGCTAGAACAAGCCAGAGGTGAATTGATTGGTATAGAGAGAAGACACAATGAGTTAATTCGAGAACACAGTCTCGCTTAGCTTAACTGCGTCACGAACTGCAGAAATTTTACCTCCTCCAGTATGTAGAGCACAGAGCATTAGGGACACGAAATACGATACGATACGATATTTTCTACTTGATCGTTTTAAAACGATATTTTTTGGAGTCGAGTAGCAGAACCCTAGTAACGTATCGAATGTCATAAACTCACATTACAAGGATAGTGTTAAAGCGATACTTTAAATGAGTACCATATCGATGCTTCCGGGTCGATATCGTTTGCCTACAAAGCATAGCTCCTTCTTTGATTCACTTTAATTATCTAGGCAATTTTATTCGACTTCAAAAATGCCCGCCAGCCGCTTCTTACTTCCGAGGTCTGCTGTGTACTCAAGCTGCCGAGTAATTTGGAAAAGAAGTTCTACCTGTCATCTATGCTCAAAAGTTGCAGAAAATTGTCCTTACTTTTTTTTCCAGCAAACTTGTTAACAGATCAGCGGCATTTGGCGAAATCTGCAGTGTTATTCTCGAATATTCTATAGCCGCCTGGCTGACAGTAAAGATACTGATGTCACTTCCATTTTTAAACAGATCAAACGAATTTTCAAAAGTGGTTATGTAAAAATGAGGCTACGAAAAGTAGTTGCTATGCATTTAACTTTATTCATAACTCCTCCCCAATCTGTACACATAAAAATAATATTCATAAGTTAGTCGCTTCTTGATTGGTTTATGATAGCCATAAGCAATGTATGCTTTACTGAAAAGTTAGCCTGTTTACTAACTTTTTTTTTGCCTTTTTATACGCTATCCCAAATATAAACCAGCTATTAAAATATCGTATATAATATAAACAAGAACATGTGGGTATATGTAAATAATTACGTAATTAATTATATTTTAGAGAAAAGGCAACATAATTTTACTATAAAAGCCTCGAAAACATAGTCGTCCATTAACTAATCTTTCGAACATACATACGAGTACTACTATCGACAAGTTAAAAAATGAATTTCTTCAGCTTATTTTCTGTGATTGTCCTTTTTGTGACTATTACCAGTTTCGACACAGCGAACGCTGCAGCTATCGCAACAGCAGCAACGCCAGCAACAGCCGCTACACCAGCACCAATACTGCTAGTGAAGGCAACAGCAGCAACACCGGCAACAGCCGCTACACCAGCACCATTACTGCTAGTAAAGGCAACAGC